CAGAGCTATCTAGTTCAGCCGGCGCGTTTAAAGAAGTCGTAATCGTAATCAGTATATTCATTGCAGGTACTAGTTTTTAGCAGACAACGATTAATCTGTATATTATGAGATTATAATACGAGGAATTCTTAAATTAAAAATTTCCAATTCGTTATCTTAGGATTTTTCGCAAGCTATACTAAATTGTATCCGCCGATGAAGACATATGAATACGGGTTCCGGGTATTCTTGTTGACATTTTGCATCGTGTTGGTATCTGGAAGTACATCGTCATTTTTCGAAACGGCTTTGTACCGATTACTGCTTATTGCCATCGGTGCTTGCATGTGCTTGGTAGTTAATATATGTATATTCCCCATTTGGGCAGGGGAGGATCTGCACAAGTTGGTTGTGAAAAATTTCAAAAACGTTGCTACTTCTTTGGAAGGCAAGACCAATTCTATAAACTCTTTTATAAAGTATATTCTGCGAACTTTCTTGTGTTTTTAATTAGCAATAACATGCTCATCTTGTTACTTTCTTCAAAACCTTGTTCAGGCGTTGTTAACGAATATCTTCAATGTGTGGAATATGAGAGAGTTTCCTCAAAAATTCTTACATACCAGGCCTCTGATAATCCTGTATATAATGCTTATAGATCGGCTGTACAGTCCTCGAGCCAGGAGGACACCTTGGTATCGATTCTTGCTTGCCTTTTTCTTATTAGATGATGTGTTATGAACACGGTTTTACTTAAGGAGTTGTTTTTGTAGTTGGACTTTGCCTCCTGGGAGCCACCTCATGGCCCTTACAGGACATTCAATTATCCATGGCATAACTATGTCAGAGTGAGTGGTGCTCTTAGGCATTGTGCTTTTATGGTCATGGCAATGCACGGATGTATTCTTTCAGAAATCCAGGTGATTAGACCTTCTTTTTGCACTACATTTAATAGCTAGATTTTCAAAGTTTACCATCACATCGCCGATATTTGTGGGCCGTTGTTCTTTGTTGAAACTGATTCCTGTGAAGGTTAATTTCCTGATTACATCAACTTTAAAGGAGCCTAAAATTCTAAATTTTATCACTTCTCTGCACTGACCTGAATTTAGCTGTAAGAAGGAATCAGTGTATATATCTAGCTTAGTGATAGCTAAATTCTTGACAGGGAAAAATCCGACGTCTCAATCTGGTTGTTTAGATGATTGTGGTCATTATGAGAGCCAGGGACGCTGAACATGTTATGGATTTAAAATTATAGGCTTATTGAAAAATTTTGTATGAACGTGTAAATGGGGTGAAGTTCACAAAGCATTTTGTATTCCTTCACCTGTAAGTTTGTTTAATGATGTCATTTGCAAGTTCATCTGCTTTCTTTGCTCTGGAAGATGGAGGAGGGAAATGGTATTATAGCTTCGCTCTGAATGCACAGAACTGCCATATTTACCTGTTATATGGCTGAGAAAGTTTGGCTATTCGGATTTGAAATTTTAAATAGAAATAATTTGATAGCTTGATGATTTTAAGCTATTGATTTAGTTGCTGGGTGTTATATTGGCAATAATTAAGTAATGTTTGGCAACTCTTCGAACCAATATATAGATGATGAGATCTTGCAAGTTTATATTACAGGCTCCACCGGATAAGAGAAAGGTTTTTGCAAAGGAGCTTCAGAGGGTTGGCATTGAGGGAGCAAAATTCTTACATGAGCTTGGAAGCAAAGTAGAAAAGATGGAGAGACTAAGTTCAGTCGACATGCTTTATGAAGTTCACGATGCAGCAGAAGCATTACAAATGAAGATTGATGCGCGATCATATGTGCTGGTCAATTCAGCAAGTTGGGGAGCTGGAATACAGCAAAAGGAACACGAAGATTTTCAACATTTTATCGATGGCAAGGATGATCATAACAAACAGGTGGTAATTGAATCCCTGAATGAGACACTGGATGCTCAACACTCGTGCATTGGAATGAACCCTTCCATTACAGAATGGGTATCTACAGAAAGCGTCTATAACAAAAACCTTATTTCATGGCCACGTCTTTCGTTATCGATGGATGCCATGCCTAATGAACGTGAGGCGAAAGTATACGAAAGTGCAAGCTCCTTGTCTTTGGCAACATTTGCCTCGCTTCTCATTGAATTTGTTGCAAGGCTTCAAAATCTCTTGAATGCATTTGAAGAGCTCAGCGAGAAGGCAAATTTCAAGGCACCAGAGAACTTTGCAGTTAAAAAGGAACATGTTGGATTTTGGACTAGATTGTTAAGACTCGTTGGCATCAAGAACTGAGACTTGATATGATGTCATGCCAAAGTTTTGAGTCCACTGGAGTATTTGATACCACACCTCTCTGCAGTTGGGTCATCATTATACAGCGATGGTTGAGTTTGCCGCAAGTTTTAAAGAAAAAGGGTTGAAATCTCAGTCTGGTTAACCTGCTTCCTTTTATATTCTTCTGTGGCAGGTAACTTAAACGGGTCCGTCCTAGGTGGATCCAGGTCGTCAGATATGATACAGAAGAGTCTTAGGAGGACACTAGAATCTGTTCATCAACCTGTCGGGCCATATGCGGGAGGGAGCGATCCTTTAATGTTATGATTTTGTTATTATGCCTAGAGGATTACAAGTTTACTATGCCTCTAGTTTAATTTTGCCTCTAGATGTGATGTCATTAGAAAGATTGTGTACTTACACAATATTTATGATGCGTCACACCGTGTTATTTAATATTTTTGCAAACTCAAGCCCGTTGTATATGATTGGTATACTGTTCTTTGAACTTATTATCTCTTCAATTCTTTGCTGCGACTGTGAGATATGGTTTGAGAATGTTTTGTAGATAAAAGTTCATACCCCATTCTTTAGGGAGGTCGGTCCATATAGGATGGAAGCCAAACCCTAAACAAAACAAGAAGTACAATTTGAACCAAACAGACCTACAAGGAGATGTTGGTTTGTTCGGTTTTGTACGATTTTCGAACTATAACCATTTCAGTTGATTCATTTTGATTAGTTCTGCAATTGATTTTGACAGTTTGGATTGGTTCAACTGATCGTTGTAAAACAGACGGTTCCATCCACGTGAGTACTTGGTAAATAAATTTAAACACAAAGGTAGTATGTAATGAGCATAAAGGTGACTCTTTCAAACTCTTCAGATTGGCGGGATTTTTCAGTATTCACCTAACTGGTAATTGATCATTTTGGTGACCTCTCACGTGAAGGAATGCGTATTTTCCGGTGGAGGATCACATGTCTTATTAATTTAATTTGACACGTAATTGATATTATATTACCAATAATTATTAAATAAATCATGCTGGCAAAAAATGTAAACAATTATTCCAACGAAAAATAAACAAAATTGCTGAATCCTCGCTTTGTACTATGAAGCCACATAAATCGAGATTATTATGTATTTACTATTTAGAAGGGTGGAATTATTTTA